CAGCAAAGACTCGACTTCAGACACAAGTTTGTTCCGGTACTCGGCGACGTTTTCCCGAGAAATATTGGTACGGCCAGTGTATAGAGCATCACCAGTGCTGTCATCCGCATAGCAATGCATGTTAGCAGTTAGCAACATATCATTGATATGCAGAAGAAACAGCGTTGGTGATAGCACACAGCCTTGTGGAACACCAGCGTTAATAGGCTTGTAGTCCGAACATGCACCGTCTACAACGACTTTGATGCTCCGATCTGCAAGGAAGCTGGTGATCCAATTGCACAATTTCTCGGGAAGCCTATAGGAAGGGAGCTTCGAAAGAAGCGCTTTGTGCCAAACCCGATCGAAGGCCTTCGCAATGTCCCGACTAACGGCCAACGCCTCCCCCTTGGGCTCTACTGCCTCCGCCCAACTATGGGTCAGGTAGACCAGAAGATCACCAGCTGATCGACCCCGACGAAAACCGTATTGGCGGTCACTAATCAGCTGGTGATCCTCAAGGTACCGGATGAGCAGGCAGTTTATAATGGATTCCATTATTTTGGAGAACAAGGAGGTGATCGCGATAGGCCTATAGTTGGACGGGTCTGAGCGGTCGCCTTTTTTAGGGATCGGGTGGACAAAAGCTGTCTTCCATGAGTTTGGGACTACGCCTTGGGAGCAGGAGTACCGGAAAAGACGCGTTAGGACCGGTGCTAACTCCGGAGCACACGTCCTCAGCACAATTGGGGGGATTCCGTCAGGCCCACTCGACTTCTGGATGTCCAGGGAGAGAAGTTCTTTGCGAACCGAGAACTGTGAGAACAGCACATCCGGCATGGAGCACTCACACCGCGGGATGGTCAGCGGTGTTTTCCCCCCGTCATCAAGAGTCTGGTTGGATGCAAAGAGGGAGCCTAAAAGGTCGGCTTTTTGTTTTGCGTCTTGGGCCAGTGAGTCATCCTCCCTGTGCAGAGATAGTAGTGATGGCTTACAGAAATTCCCTTGGACAGCCTTGGCGAGAGACCAGAATGCACGGGTTCCCGAAGGAAGGCGAACTAGTTTCTCGCCAATTCCGCCTATGTTCTCTGACTTTGCCTTGGCAATAACTCTTTTGAAGGACCTGGAGGCGAAGTTATACTTCTTTTTAAGTGTGCTGGTGTTTACATCATCGAGTCACCGAAGCCGCAGCTCAGGCTTGATAACACTCCTGCTTACTGCGTAATGCAGTCTTACAGGAGCGACCAAACCAAGGCTGAAATCTGCCTCCGATGGGTACCACAGATGATGGAATAAATAGTTCCATTCCCTGTAGCACCACATCAGTAACAGAGTCAGCAACAGCGCTGGGATCATCCGGCGAGAAGCAAACCCGCCCCCATAGGTAAGAAGCAAAGGAAGACCGCATTCCGTCCCAATCCGCCGACCTGTAATGCCAAACACGGCGGCAACCTGCAAAACGCAACCGCGAGGGGAGCGTGAGTGGCACCACACTCCGGATCAGACAATGGTCCGAAGAGCCGAGAGGGGCATCGGCGGAAACCTGATATCCGTCCGGATGAGAGGTCAGCAGAAGGTCCAACAGGAAAGGTGTGTGATCCTCCACATCTGGAATCCGCGTAGCCGCGTAGCGTAGAAGTAACCAGTTCTGTCAGACCATATGCCAAGGCAAAGTCATAAACAGATCTCCCTGCATGATCGGTTAAACGTGAACCGAGCCATTCGGCGTGGTGGGCGTTAAAATCGCCAAGGATCACGATCTCAGAGGATGGGACCTGTCGTAGCAAGGAATCTGTAGCCATTTGGACGTGGTCGGTGAGTCGGTCTGTTTCGGCATTACCGCTATGGGACCTATAGAGTCACCCGCAGACGCGCGGATGGTCGTCGCTGTCTACGCGTAACCAAAGGATGGACAGATCCGAACCTTCAAGACTACCGAGGCGTCGAGAACAGATGTCCTCTCTGACATACACGCAAACTCCAGCCCGAGGCACAAAGGAGTGCTCCAATTTGTACCCCGGGTAGGAGAGATACGAAATATCAGCCGGAGAGGAAACCTGAGTCTCGGTCAGAAAGAGCAAGGCCGGCTTCGCCGTCTCGAGATGGTAGTGGACGGCGTTTAGGTAAGATAGAGTGAAGTCCCCTGATGTTGCAGAAATTCACGGATAGCGTGGCAGGGGTCGCCTTGGTATCGTTGCTCAGTTTGCCCCGAGAAGTTATGTTTTTGAGCGGAATTTTGCCCCCCTCAGAATACGCGGGGCAGCCTGAGCACCCACGCTCAGGATTGGAATAACATGGTCGTAGATGCTCAGCGAGGGATTCTCCAGGGGTACTGGTACCCTCCTGGGGTAGTCTATTGTGTAATTCCGCTACCATGTTGATGTGAGGGGGGGTGGAATTGGGTCTCCGGCCACCTGCACTCATCAGACGAAACGCAAAAGCAGAGCTTCTACTTCACGCCGGTATTCTGTGAGGTCGTGGTACCAACCCGGCTCGAGCCGGCCCATACGTGCAACAGCAAAAACTGCTGCGTGGCTTTACCACCGTTAAAATCTAAAAGAGTCATATGTGTGGTGAACAACATGAATATTTATGTGTTCCAACTGTTTAGAATTAAATATGTGTATTAATGTTTGATCTTTCAAATAATAAAACTGTAAGTTCTAGAATAATTAAAGTTTATGATACGTTAATTTATGCTGTTTTATTAATCTTATATTTTTTTATTTATTATTATATATGACGGAGTGGGGCCACCATAAGAGTTTTTAAAAACTATGACGTCATCATCGATGACGTCATTATTATGATTTCTAGGTTCACTCATTATTGTTTTTAATAATAAAACTCACTACACGTATTTGATCTTAACTGGTTTTACTAATCACAATTATTCACAATTTAACGTTTCTTCACTATTAACAATTATTCACAATTTATAATTAACGAACTTAACTAGGTCTGAACAGCTCGACTGCACGAACAAGAATGAATCTTGCCCAAGCCGCCGCACGCCTTTTAAACCAAACGCAAGCGTGCGGAAGCTATCCCTACAACGCAAGCGAGCGGAAGCTATCCCTACTTCCTGCGTCTTGAGAATAAATTACCTTCCAAATTGTTACCGCGATAACCTGATTTTAATTATATTTTGAATTAAAGCATTTTAACTTATTTATAAGTAACAATAATTAACTAATTTTAAAATAAAACAAAATGTTATAAACAATCAAGTTATAACGTTGTTTCTGCAGTTGAAATAACGCTTATTAATTTTTAACACGATAATAATTGTTTGAGTAATGCGCCGGATACGTCGCTTATACTTTGTGGCGCCGATACGGCCATTCTGATTGGTGATGCGTGCTCAGCACCTACCAATTTTATTCTTACAGCTTTACTGCTGTTTGTTTATTTATTTGTGTTTCGACCATACATCACGTCTACACACATAATTCTCGTAATCTCGTAGAATGGAAATGGAGTGATGCTGTGCTCTGGGCGGTCCTGTTCGCCGTGGTACACAGGGGCTCTATAGGAATTAGGATTAGGTCGATGCTGTGTTATACACAGGGGCTCTAAAAGAGAAAACAGAAAATTATTTTGTTATTTGTGTTTCGACCATACATCACGTCTACACACATAATTCTCGTAGTCTCGTAGAATGGAAATGGAGTGATGCTGTGCTCTGGGCGTTCCTGTTCGCCGTGGTACACAGGGGCTCTATAGGAATTAGGATTAGGTCGATGCTGTGTTATACACAGGGGCTCTAAAAGAGAAAACAGAAAATTATTTTGCAATAGTTAGAAGTTTTGTTCTTGAGTTAAGTTCTGCTGTTATGATTCTTAAGAAGTTGACGGCCCGGGCTCACTTGTTGCACTAATATCACCAGGGCATGGCTCTCTTTCCGCCGATACGGCCCTCTGAATCCCTGGCTGTGGGGCCCGACGTAGTTGATCGTGAGCGACTTTTCGAGGCCGTCCTCTGCCAATTACCTTTTTCACCAAATAACGATCGTTTTCAAGTATTCTGCATATCTCATAGGGTTCACTAAATTTAAGGTCTAATGAGGTTTGATTGCGTGGATTATTTTTGATAATTACGTATTCTCATTTTTGAAAATGATAGATCTTAGCTTTTCGTTGATTAAATCGTTGTCTATCTTGTTCCGATGCTTGAGACATTCTATTCTGCACATGTCTGGAAAGGGCGTCAATATCAATAGTTTGATTATCCATATTTACTAATCCGAGTAGTTCCGGTGGAACAGAGTGTTTTCGTCTTGTGAGTAGAGTGAGGGGAGCGACACCTGTTACTCGATGAGCAGTACAATTCATGGCCAACTGAAGTTCTTCTAATGCAGTATGCCATTGTTCCGTTTCATAATTTTTTATCATTATTAATGCGTTCTTAAGCGTTGCTATTATTCGCTCAACTTGTCCGTTAGCTCGGCTGATTCCTGGTGATATATCATGGATGTCTATTCCTAGCTGTTGGCAATAAGTCTTGAATTCCCCCAAGAATTCTCTGCCTCCATCCACAATTATTTGAAGTGGTGTTCCAAATAGGTGTATAGTACGTTTTAGTGCAGCTAATGTGCTGTGCGGACTCTTATCGGTAGCATAATAAAACAGCACATATTTTGAGAAAGCATCGACAGTTACTACGACATATTGCTGGGCATCTGTAGTACCGAGCTTGCCAGTGATATCCATATGTATCACTTGAAAGGCTGTAGTTGGCTTTTGGATTGGATGTAGTTGAGCTTGTACAGCGCCCGATGTTCCTTTTGATGTTCTACACACGATACAGTTGTCCACAAACCTGCGCACCAGGGTACTCATTTTGTCAAACCAGTAAGATTCTTTGATCTTATGTAGAGTCTTTTCCCATCCAGGGTGTTTAAGCGCTGTATGAAATGAATTTATTATACTCCACTGGAAAGATCTAGGAACTACAACACAGATTTGCTGTCCAAAAATTGGGTCTCTCACGATTCGTTTTAAAACTTCGTTTTCTAGAAGTTAACCATCTACTGGATTTCCGTTGTTGAAGCTGTCCATCAGGCGACGCAATATCTCATCTCTGCGTTGTTCCACCTTCAACCAATCCAAGTCTCTTGTCATTATATTAACCTCACAACTACTTGGATTTCTGCTTAAGAAGTCGGCGTGTTGCAAGCGATTTCCTTTGTGGTATTCTACTTCAAAATCATAGTTCTGTAAGAACGCCCACCACCGATGAATTCTTGGAAGGAGATCCTTTTTGTGCTTAGATGCCTTTAAGGCATTGCAATCGGTTATAATTTTGAATTTCCGTCCATACAGATACTGCCGAAAATGTTTTATTGCACGCACTACCGCCAAGGTCTCTAGTTCGTACGAGTGATATCTGCTTTCAGTATCAGTAGTTCTCATACTCATGAAGGCGATTGCATGTTGACGTTTGTTGATAATTTGTACTAGAACGGCACCGAATCCCAAGCTACTTGCATCCGTGTATAATTCTATGGGTGCTTCTTCTTGAAATATTGTTAACACAGGAGATGATGTCAGACATTGGATTATCTTATTACGTGCTTCTTCGTGTCGATCATTCCACTCCCATTTAGCACCTTGTTTAGTCAACTCATACAAGGGCATCATTATACGGGAAAAATCGGGGATGAATTTACGAAAATATCCAGCTAAACCATTGAACTGTCTTACCTTTTTAGCAGTATTCGGTACTGGTGCCTTGACTAGAGCTTCAACTTTCTTTGGACTTGGACGGATTTTACCATTTGAAACAACGTTACCCAAATATTCTATTGAGCGTTTGAAGAAGCTGCACTTATCCGCATTGATAGAAAACCCAGCCTTATGTAATGCTATGAGAATGCGTTCAATGTTTATTAGTCCTTGAGTAAAATCAGCACTTTTGCTCAAGACATCGTCGACGTAAACTTGAGCAGCACTGCCCAGTAACGAAAACAATGCTCTATTAATACATCTTTGGTATACTGCACACGCGTTGGATAAACCAAATGGCATAGTAAGGTATTCGTATAATCCATCAGGCGTAACGAATGCAGTCTTCTCTATGGAACTCTCCGAAATAGGTATTTGATGGAAACCTGCCGCCATATCAAATGTGGTGAAGTAGAGTCCATTGGCCAGTTGATCGATTTGGTCGGAGATGAGTGGAAGTGGGTAATGGTCCCGCAAGGTATTAGCATTTAACTCGCGGAAGTCTACACAAAGGCGGTCATCTCCATTCTTCTTTTTAACTAGGATAATTGGGCTAGAGTATGGGGATTTGCTCTCACGTATAATATTGTGCTTCAATAATTCGTTGACAATGGTACGAACCTTTTCTCTCTCCACTGGACTGAGGCGGTATGGTCTTCGTTCTACGTATTTGTCCGGATTCTTTAATCTGATTTCCAACATACCTGTGTTAACTCGGGTTTTAGGGTATCCTCGAATAAATAAGTGTTCATACTTATTAAGGAGTATGCGAAGTTGTTTGATCTCTTCAGGGTCGGAAAGATCACAGTCTAGTTTTCCAAATATTGGACTATTTGTAGTGATATGATTGATAAGTCCTTGGTGCACTAATTTTGTTTTGCTAGACTTTACTATAACACTCAAGTTTGTGCCTTTAATCAAATTCATGCCAACCAGAATGTCCGTCGACATCTCACAGTCAGCCAGAACATAAAACTGAATTTCTACGCTGATATCATCTATGACACATATAGTCAGTAAACTCGTGAGTGATAATACGGGAAATCGTCCAATACCTCTCAAGTAGTTAGCCGTTTGAACTCTTTGTCCAGGCAGAGCAGCGGCTACAGATTCCCGTATAAATGAACATTCTGCACCACTGTCAAACACTGCCCGTAAAATTTTTACTCCTATCCTGATAGTTAAAGGGGCGAGTTTTGTACCTTCGATGTGATTTATATTTGATGTCAAAGAACGATCACGCTTAAAACATTGATCGTAAGTATGTCCTAATTTTTGACAAAATGTGCAGGTAGGTTTACTATTACTTTCACCTCTTTTACTATATTGTTCCTGATTTAATGCCGTTGGTTTGAAACGACATTCATCGGCAGAATGGTTTTTCCTTTTACAGATGTGACAGAATGATAGAGCGTGAGCATTACTATTGTTTGATAAACGCGGACGTTTGTTTGGCATCGTCATACTACTATTTGATGTATGAACGCGCTTTAATCGTATTGAGGATGCAATAGATATAAGTTCTGGCACTGTTGTTGCGCGCGCGTTTGATAGTTCGATCCGTAAATGTTCGTCACTAATGCAACCAATTACAGCCTCAACTGCGTCTTCATTAGGTAACTTGTCTTTGGTAATTCGTCTCCATAGTACCCAGGCTCGCGATAAAAATTCCGCTATATCTTTTGAAGAATCAAAAACATGTTCCCTGAATCTTAATATGTCCCGAGATTACCGGTTTTCTGGTTCAAATGTAGTTATAAGATTGTTGCGAAGTTCTTCCCAAGTAGATGTAGTTATCATCCAATCGTCGACCCACATTTTAGCGCGTCCTTTCAATAAGCTGCCAACTTTCATGCGTATATCAAAATCATTGAGGTGGTACGTCTGAATTGCTTTACTAATATGTTGACACCATTCACGTACTCCAACGTTTGTATCTGGATCAAATGAAGGTAGATAAATATCATTAATTCTCACCTTTGTTTCCGATGGAGTAGTTAGTCTATCCGACATGTTTTGCATCATATGCATCATTTGCATAAAGAACTGTGATGGTACATTAATCATTGAACTGTTATCACTCTGATTCTGTTGCATTGTTTCAGTGTTGACCGACATAGATGGTTGTTCAATATCAGATGGTCGAGCAGCAGTGGAAGAGCGTTGTTCACATCCCACTTCTGATGACGGAGTGGGGCCACCATAAGAGTTTTTAAAAACTATGACGTCATCATCGATGACGTCATTATTATGATTTCTAGGTTCACTCATTATTGTTTTTAATAATAAAACTCACTACACGTATTTGATCTTAACTGGTTTTACTAATCACAATTATTCACAATTTAACGTTTCTTCACTATTAACAATTATTCACAATTTATAATTAACGAACTTAACTAGGTCTGAACAGCTCGACTGCACGAACAAGAATGAATCTTGCCCAAGCCGCCGCACGCCTTTTAAACCAAACGCAAGCGTGCGGAAGCTATCCCTACAACGCAAGCGAGCGGAAGCTATCCCTACTTCCTGCGTCTTGAGAATAAATTACCTTCCAAATTGTTACCGCGATAACCTGATTTTAATTATATTTTGAATTAAAGCATTTTAACTTATTTATAAGTAACAATAATTAACTAATTTTAAAATAAAAGAAAATGTTATAAACAATCAAGTTATAACGTTATTTCTGCAGTTGAAATAACGCTTATTAATTTTTAACACGATAATAATTGTTTGAGTAATGCGCCGGATACGTCGCTTATACTTTGTTGCGCCGATATATATTTTTATTTATTAGTATTTTTTATGAATGATTAGTAACAACGTCACCTGTCGCAGCCAATACAGTCTGCAGAATTTTCTCTGTAGCAAACTGACAACCACATTGTATTTGATAATTCACTCCTACTTTTTAACTATCCCATTGTTTAACCAATGTTGGTGAAAAATTATTCGAGTTTTATTTATTTAGACGACTAGAGGAATAAGAGAATATACGTAGCCTTTCTTTTATATAGTTTTTTAATACCGATACCATTTTTCATTCATAAGCTTCTAAAATAGGTCATTACTATAAATTGTTTTACTTATTACAAGCCAGAGCCTTACCACAGCCTCACCTGGTGGTAAGTAGTGATGCAGCCCGAAATGGTAAATCGCACTGTTTTAGTGTAACCAAAACCTATTTCTCACTCAGTTATTTATAAAGTTTGGAATTATTTTTATTTTGTCTAATTGTGAGTCAGCTTCAAATCTGAAAACATTCTTATCAAATACGTGTTGTAGAGTGCCAATAAACTTTAAGATATATTTTTAATTGTAATGTAATTTAATGAAAAATATTTAGACATACATGAAGTTTAAGGTTCAAATTTAAAATTGAGCGCCTGATTATCTTAAAATAAAATTATATCGTTTTGATTTGTGGTTACAATAAATTTACTGTAGACTAAAACGACCCACAACTTAGCTGAAAACTTAAGAAATAATCAATATTTAAAAGCGGTATAGACAAGTTGCTCGATGAGAGCTTCAAGCTAAACATAAGCTAAACATCTGCGATAATACGGCCTTTTTAAATTTTAGCAAGCGTGAGTAAAAATTGTTTTACCTCTTATAGGAATAAAGAATCATGTTGTTGTTAAGTAATTAAGTAAACGTAATGTAACGGTAGCCAAATGTAAAGGATGGTGTTGGGCAAATCTTTGTAACAGAAAGCGCGTGGAATCTGTGAAAGCAAGACCTGGCCGCCGAGCTTCGACAGGTCAAGCAGGTTCTGCACGACAACAGGCTTCGAGTCCCGCGCTTACGTCGCAGTGACCGAGTGAAGCCGGACACAGTCGAGCGTCTTCCTGCTGTACCATACTATATATCAGTGGTGTCACAGACAAGATTGGCTACATCTTGAAGCGAGCTTCTATTTGAACATTCTTCTAGCCGCCGAAGAAGATTAGTCAGTTCTTACTATACGTCAAGTGCAATATTCGCTTACAAGATGCAGGAGTGTACAAGCTTGATTGTGAATATGGTCTCTCATATATAGCCCAAACAAAACGACCAATAAAACCCGCGTAAAATAACACATAGCTGACGTGAAGCATCAACGTTCCGAGAAGTCTGCAGTTTGTGATCATATCCTAGACGGCCCCCACCATTATATTGGATTTGATAAACCACAAATTCTCGCGAAAGAACATTGATTCCTGTCAAGGATGATACATGAGGCTATTGAAATTAAAAATATCCTAATCTTACTAGTTAGGGAAGCTGGGTACTACCACCTGATTGGGACCCTGTAATTAATATAATTAAAACTATACCCTAAAGCATACCACTGCACGACTTTAAGATATAGTAAGTTTATTCTGCGTAGATCTGACCAAAATTAATAATTAAAGAAGTTGAAGGTATTCCGGGTTCACTCTAACATCGGGACGTCAATCACTCCAGTCTCCCGTGACCATCATCATCATCATCATCATTACAGTCCTTCACAAGTCCACTGCTGAACATAGGCCTCCCCCAAAGAATGCCACAAAGCACGGTCCTGAGCCACCTGCATCCATCGACTTCCTGCATATCTTACCAGGTCGTCACTCCATCTAGTGGGGGGACGCCCTACACTTCGCCTGCCGGTACGAGGCTGCCACTCGAGAACATTTCTTCCCCATCGGTTGTCGGTTCTACGAGCTATATGGCCGGCCCATTGCCACTTCAGCCTACTAATCCGTTGGGCTATGTCGGTCACTCTGGTCCTACTGCGGATATCCTCATTTCTAAGTTTATCACGCAGAGAAACTCCAAGCATAGCCCTCTCCATAGCTCGCTGAGCGACCTTGAGCTTCCTTATCCGGCCAGCAGTGAAGGACCACGTCTCAGTTCCGTATGTCATCACTGGCAACACGCACTGGGTGTACAGTCTCGTTTTCAAGTTTTGAGTTATACCTGTCGAGAAGATGTGTCGAAATTTCCCGAATGCTGCCCAACCGAGTTGAATCCGTCGATTGACCTCTTGGTCGAAGCTGGACTGACCTAGTCGGACTATTTGTCCCAGGTAAACATACTCGTCAACAACTTCGAGCTTAGTGTTCCCAACAACTACCGGCATAGGTGTGATATGGACATTAAACATGATCTTTGTTTTGTCCATGTTCATCTTAAGACCTATCCGTTGGGAAACACTATTGAGGTCATTGAGCATAGTGCTTAGGTCCTCCAGCGATTCTGCCATAAGGACAATACCTCCCGTGACCATGGGTATTATAAAATACATGAAACTTCGGGATAATAAAAATAAGTTAATTGCTACATCCTTAATATATCTATCTATAACCTTTTCCAATGTCTTAAGAAGAAAACAAGAAAGGCTTTTAGGACCTTTTAACGGTGGTAGAGCCACGCGGCAGGTTTTGCTGTTGCACGTTTGGGCCTGCTCGAGCCGGGCTGGTACCACGACCTCACAGAAAACCGGCGTGAAGCAGAAGCTCTTCTTCTGCGTTTCGTCTGGTGAGTGCAGGTGGCCGGAGGCCCATTTCTCCCCCCCTCCCTCCCCCCATCAACATGGTAGTGGAATTACACGAAAGACTACCCCAGGAGGGTACCAGCACCTCTGGAAAATCCCTCGCTGAGCATCCACGACCATGTTATTCCACTCCTGAGCGTGGGTGCTCAGGCTGCCCCGCGTATTCTGGAGGCGGGGGGGGGGGGGGGGGGGGGGCAAAATTCCGCTCAACACAATAACTGCTCGGGGTAAACTGAGCAACAAGACCAAGGCGACCCCTGCCATGCTATCCGTGCATTTCTGCAACATCAGGGGACTTCACTCGAACGTAAATGCCGTCCACTACTATCTTGAGACGGCGAAGCCGGCCTTGCTCTTTCTGACTGAGACGCAGGTGTCCTCTCCGGCTGATACTTCGTATCTCTCTTACCCGGGGTTCAAATTGGAGCACTCCTTTGTGCCTCGGGCTGGAGTTTGCGGGTATGTCAGAAAGGACATCTGTTCTCGACGCCTCGGCAGTCTTGAAAGTTCGGACCTGTCCATCCTTTGGCTATGCGTAGACAGCGACGACCATCCGCGCGTCTACGGGTGCCTCTATAGGTCTCATAGCGGTAATGCCGAAACAGACTGTCTCACCGACCACGTCCAAATGGCTACAGATTCCTTGCTGCAACAGGTCCCATCCTCTGAAATCGTGATCCTTGGCGATTTTAACGCCCACCACGCCGAATGGCTCGGTTCACGATTAACCGATCATGCGGGGAGATCTGTTTTTGACTTTGCCTTGGCACAGCCAAGTCTTTGCATTTGAGCAACAAAATTAAGACGGCTTCTAATAAAATAAAATGACATGGAGTATAATTAATAGCGAAACTGGTAAGACCAACTCTCGCAATTCAAACTACCAGTTAAGTGTTAATAACAAATTAACCGAATCAGATCAGGACGTTGCAAT